CCCAGCCGGGCGCCTCTCAGTCTGCCGGGGCAGCGGGTAAAGGCCTCTCCACCTCCTGACTGGGGTCTGCTGCTGACCCTTCTGTCTCTCGGGGCAGCCCTGGACGGATGGGGATGGCACTCCCCGGAGCTGGGCAAGTCTTAACCCTCCTGGGGCTTAGGGGGCGGGGAAGCAGGGGAGAACCGAGGTCCGGATACAGATCGTGGGAAATCCCACCGCCAGGCACCCTTCCTGCTTCCGTGTCAGTAGCTCACCATGCCTACAGAATCTAAGCCCCTCTTGGGAGGTGCTGACTGACCCTTATTTGGGGGGGGTGGGGGGTGATACAGCAAGAGGCCAGAGAGGTGGAGAGACTCTCCCAAGGTCAGTGGTAGAGTTGGGGCTCGAACCCGTGTCTCTCCGAGTCCCAGAATTGGAGTTTCAACCGCCATAGTAGGTGCCGTGTGTCTCTGTGGCTCAGGTGTTCCTGCCAGCCTCTAGTCCAGCCCTCTCCTCCCTTACACATGCACACTCCACCTGGGCCACACCTGCCCGCCTTTCCATCCCCCATCCAGAGGTCACCAGATACCAGCCACTGGAGCAGGAAGCTTGCCGCATGCCCCTTCTGGAAAGGCAAAGGCCGAACAGCTGGGCCCCGAGAAGAAGTAAAGTTCGGGAAGTGGCTGCCCATGGGCAGGGAGCCAGGACGCCAGGGTCCTCTACCAGTAGACAGCCAGGGCCAAGATTGGACAGTAGGCGTTCTCCCAGGAAACACCCAGGAGCCGGTTTTTCAAGGCTGAATCAGTGCCCCCCCCCCCTCCCGGCCTCCTTTTCACTAAAGCAACCGGCTGCTGGAGGGGGAGTCTGGGCGTGGTATACCCTCCAGTCTCCCAGGAACCCCCCCTCCCCACTTCCAGCTTCCCCACTGTGCTTCTGTGTGTCTCTGGGGTTGCCTAGTTTCCGGCCTTCCTGCAGAGGAGAAGGGTGAGGATGCTGGAATTCTGCCAGGCTCCTCCGCGTTGCTGAAACGCCTCTTGCCCTGGCTGGGTGTAGGTGTGAGGGGAGAATCTGAGAAGGCAAGGAGGTAGAGGCACTTAGCATTTCCTTAGTAGGCATGGTTGGGGAGCTCTTTAAGGATAGGGGGTACTCGGGGAACATTCAGAATAAGGACAGAAGACATCCTTTCATTCATTCCATAAATACTTACTGAGCACCTACTACTATGTGCCAGGTCCTGTTTTTAGCACCGATAAAAATCAAACAAAACAACACACATTCACTGTTCCTGAGTCTCCCGCGGGTTTCTGAGGCCATAGATCTTTACAAGAGCAGAAAGCCTCATCTTTCTCCCGTGGAGCCGCTGATGGTTTTGAATCACAGCCCAACTCAACCCACGACAACACCAGCAAAGCTCCTTGGCTCGTAGTCCAGAGATACCTGTCCCCCGTGGGTGGCCGGGAGAAGCAGACATCCTGGCTCTTGGGGAGAACAAACGATAAACAAGTGAACAAATAAATAAAGAAGAGACTTGAATCCTGATCCATGGGATGAATAAAATATTGGGGGGATGACCTGACCAAGAGTGACTGGGGCAGGAGGCCCCCAGAGGAGGCAGCTTTGGCACTGAGGCCACAAAGGAGTCAACCCTTGGAAGATCAGGGCTAGGGTGGAGGTGGGGGGGTGGGGGGCAAAGTCAGGGTGGAGGCTGTAATGTTGCAACGTCACCAGCATGCAGCAGGGTGGCTATGGAGGAACCCACTGGTAAGGTCTGAGGCAGAGAAGTGAGCTCGCTCGCTTACTTTGGAAAATAGAGACATGAAGTGAAATAAACCGCCTAGGACCAGATGACAAGAGTTTTGTCAGGAAAACATGTAATTAAGTTCATGGGCCTGAGCAGGCTGCATCAAGCGTGGTTCCAGCAGGCTGAGGCAAGCAGGGGAGGCTGCCTGGAGGGGGGGGGGCGGTTAACCTTGGCAGATGGAGGACTAGGATGTTCCCAGGCAGGGCGAAATGGGGTGCGGCACTGGCAGCCGTAATAATAACGGCTCCCTTAAATAGAATGTCCAAGTCCCTGGGTGGAGCAAATAGCTAATGTGTTTGGCTGCTGATCCAAAGGCTGGAAGTTCCAACCTACCTAGAGGTACCTCAGAAGAAAGGCCCACGATGTCCTTCTCTAATGCACGTGGGGTTGCCATGTGCCAGAGTGTGCTTGACAGCACCTGGTCTTAAAACGGAGTCCCAGACAAAGAGGTGTGTGAGCTACTGCGTCATCCTGTTGGCACCCCCACCAGCACCCCAAGAAACAAGTATTCTGCCCATTTTTCAGATGAGGAAGCGGAGACGCTGGGAAGTGAAGTGATTTGCTCGAGATAACTGGTAAATGCAGACTTCAGATTCTACTCCAAGGCACGCTACCGTTCTGACCTGAAAGGCAAGTTCAAGCACCCTGGTTCCCACCTGACAGAGGAGGACCCAGCAGGCAGCCTGGACCAGGGCTGCGGGC